TACTTTCTTTCTTTTTTTTTTTTTTTATTTTCATCCACGGTACGTAATTTTAACTCTTCCAATTTAGATTTTATTTACAACATTTATTTACACGCAATTTATATTCAAAATTTCTATCCCGACAAGTTGCACAAATGTCTGACGAATTAATTTGACTTAATTTAAAAAAAAAAACAATTAATTCGTCAAATAAAATTGTTCAATTCGTGTGTTTTTTTTTTTTTTTCAATTAGAAAACAATTTCAATAAAATATTTGTTCGTTGTTTATTGTATACAGTCAAGTGTAAAACATTTCAATTGATTTTTTATATTCGAATAAAATAATAATAATACAAATTAGACACACGAACTTTCTCAAGAAAGAAAGAAAGAAAGAAATGTATCGAAAGAATTTAATAAAAAAAAAATAAAAAAGAAAAAGAAAAAGAAAAAAAAAGGTTAATCTTCTCGATACAATCATTTATTTGTATCATAGAATTCGTTTCACAGTAGTTGTTTTATTCTAGATGTGTTCACGGTCTTATTCCGACTAATTGCTAGTGTGCAGGTTAATAAACGACAAGAAAAAAAAAGAATAGAAAAAGAGAGAGAGAGAGAGAGAAAGAGAGAGAGAGTGAGAGAGAGAGAGAGGGTTATGGAGCTTTTCACCATGAATTTCCGTTTGTAAGTCGTGTTGGTTGCTTTATCTGCATGCCGATCGAATAAAACGATTATTTACGATAAATAGATCTTATATATATATATCGTTCTCTACCGGATGCTTATAACATTAAACCGATCTATTTTCTTTATCTATTTTTTTTTATTAGTGAACAACCCATTTTCTATCCTTTATTTTTCATTGTACATCATTCAACATACTTCCAAGTATACTTCCAAGTATTGACCGTTTTATTACTATTATTTATTCGAATATAGAAAATGAGGGTAACCCACACACACAAACACACATATATATATATACGTACAAACACAAGGTTATTTTGTTAGTGTGAATGAAACACAATGGTAGGTAGACCAAGGATCATCTACTCTACCAGGATCATTCAATCCAGGTATTTGTATTTTTTCACGAACAGGTTTTTGGACTTCTTTGTTAGACCTGAAAATTTGGTTTCTTTTTGTTCCCTCCCCCCTGATGGAATGGAATGAAATTTCGTCATCCTTTGAAAAAAAAAAAAAGAAAAAAAAACACCATACTCATAGTTTGAACGTTTGTGACTTTCATTACCTTTCTAAAACCAGGGATTTGTTTAGGATTGTATAGAAGAAGAATCATTTATCATCGTTCGTAATTTGATTTCAAATCGAAGTAATAAAAAACAACAACAACAACACGTGAAACTGCTGGAATTTCTTTCACTCACCTTTTTACTACCATTTTTAATGGTTTGATTATTTATGAGAGCGAATAATAATTGAGCAGTTAAAATGTGTATCTACCTGACACAACAATCTTGCAAATGTTTTTACGAGTATATATTAAACTTCTGTTGTTCTCAACATTTGTGTGAAAAAGTACATCATCCGATGTTTTTTACAGTAAATGATTTAAACAGTGTGTTGTTCGATTTAAAAACTTTCACTTAAGAAGAATTCTCTTCGCCATTTTTTTTTTTTTATTTCAATAGAATGATGATATTTCATTTTCTCATTGAAATATATTTTCTTGACTTTTACGATATCATTTCTCGTATGAGAAGGAGGAGGAGGATGAGGAAGAGAAGGAGGAGGAGGATTTATCGATGGTTGTTTGGGCTTTCGCATATGTTTATCGACGTTTAGCGATCTTTTCTTAAGATGTATTGGTGAAAGTAAGCAAGCAAGCAAGCAAGCAAGCAAGCAACTGTGAACTGATGAAAAAAAACATAAAAAAAAAGAAAATTAAAAGAAACAAATCAACTATGATAGAAATTCATTGGAGACTTCAGAAACTAAATTACCATTCATAAATAATTCAAGTAGAGATAATTATCGATTGATAAGAATGAAATTTAATTTTTTTTTTTTGTTTAAATGATTTTTTGTGCGTGTGTTCGTAGTAATATAATAGTTAGAAAAAGGAAAAGTAGGATATAAATGAGGTCATGGAAGCCACACATGCGATTCATCTTATGTATACATATATATATATATTAAGTTATGGTACTACATGTTAAGATATAAGCAGCTTGACCTTAAATATCTCGTTTATAACGAGGATGTCGGATTACCGTAGAAACCATGTGTTGTTCATGGACAATAGGCAACCCAGTAGGTCCTCCTCCTCATCCCTCACTTCTTCTTCTTCTTCTTCTTCTTCTTGAGCAACAAGGACAAGTTTAAATGTCGATTAAACTCTTTGTATCAAACCGGCTGTACCTGTTGGTTGTTATTTTATACCCTTTTTTTTTTAATTTCGTTTCACTACTCTAATTCTATTTACTTTGTTTGCCAATACCGTTTCATTCTTTTTAAATTAATTAATTTGATTTGTTTTGTATTTCTCTTTTTCCAGGTGCAATAGAAAGATGGGAATCGTTGGCTTCCCGGGTGGAGGAAAATCGAATGGCTGGTTCACTTCATCAGGAATTATCAGCCATGTTGTTGGAATTTAAAGCAACTTATGAAAGGCTTATGGGTTATGAGATCATTTTGGAACAACCTCATCTTCTAGACGATCAGATTAATCGAATTACGGTATGATTTTCTCTTTTTTTTTTCTTTCTTTCTTCGATATTTCATATTTTCGCGGGTTTACAATGATAATTGTAGGGTTTCTTGTTATCGACATACGTTGGTAAGAAGAGTTCATTATTTTCTGTCGGTAAACTATTAACATTAGTTGTTAAATCGTTACCATCGATCGGTAAAGTAGTTTACTATAAAAATTAACAAAATATTACGAATAATTAATAAACCAACATCCCAATAACAACCCTACTTTCCCAATTCTTTCACCCTCATTCATAATTAGTGGACCAATCTTGCTTCACACGCAACTTACGTTGACTTTATAGAAATTTTTAGGTTAAAAAGAAAGTCTGTCCATTTTTAGATACTTTTTTTTCGATTATCCCTCGTTATCGAATGTTCTATAGGAATTAGAAAAAAGGGGATAGTTCGTGCTATCAAAGAATATCGCAATTGTGAAGCGTGTGTGTAGGAGGAAAGAGGGTTGGTTGCTGGGGTGTGGTAAGAGAAGAAATGTTGGAGAGGAGTTGGGTGGGATGGAGGAGTAATAGGAGGAGAAGGATAGGCGAGCAATAAGAAAGTTAAGAAAGGGTGGTCGGTTGAGAAGCGTAGGGTCTCGACAAAGGGGCAGGTGGGGTGGTAGAAAAGGAAGAGGGTGACTTCGTGTGATGCTAAAGTCAGAAGAAGAAGAAGAAGAAGAAGAACGAAAGAAGGAGGATGGTCAGGTGGGAAGTGAGGTGGAGGGTAGGAAAGAGAGTAGCGTAAAAGCGTAGTCGTGTCGCACGTACGCTCGTCTGACGGGAACGTGCTCAGCATTGGAATTCGCGAGTGAACGTCGCYGAACGTAGAACCGTACAGCAGCAGCAGCAGTAGCAGCAGTAGCTAGCATCCCCCGAGTTCGAGTTCCACCCTCCAAGCTCCAACCCCAAAGTCAGGAAGGGAAGGTTTCGCGTCTACGTTGGTTTGGTGGCTGGCTGGCACCGTCGCGGACACCAGCACCACTACTACTCTCACACAACCACTATCATCACTAGTAGTTGAAGTAGCATCACCATTCCTACCCCCTACCCCTACCCTTCTGAAACTCTACCACCAGTTCCACAATATCCTCTTCCTCCCACTTTTCCTCTGACATCCCTCTCTCGGCTTCATTGCGAAGACCAAACACATGCTTCCTATCTATCATCAAGATGTATTAGCGTCCAACATTTGCTGGCTGAACTCGTTGCCGTGCTGCATTATGCAGGAGGTGCGGTAGGCCACCGAAGACCTACGAAGAAGATAGGGAAGAGAGAGAGGTAGGAGGAGGAGGAGGAGAAGGAGGAGGAAGAGACTTACTTCAAGAGAAGTACCTTGACTTCAAGTCTATTCTCTTTTCTTCCTTTTATTTGGACTACTCTTCAATTGATGATTACAGTTGTTGATAATTTCATATGGGACACCCTGTAATAATTCAATCGCATTCCATACACATATGCACAAAGTTTAAACACGCGGATATGCACGTCGGGTTTACGAATATACAAACTTGACTTTGAAGTTGGCGACTGTTAACACTTATTCGGTCCTTGTCCTTTGACTCGTGTTATTTTGAGCAAAGCATCGCGTGCCTTTATTCGTAGCTATCATTCCACGCGTCTTGTCCCTTTTCACGAACGATAATGCCTGCTTGTTTTAAAGAGAGTGAGTGAGAGGGGAAAAGAGAGAGAGAGAAAGAGAGGCTTGCTCCATTGCGTGTAAGATAGCACGTGCCAGCCAATTAAAATACTAGCAGAGGTTCTCTCCGTTCCACTTAACACCTCGCGCGGTATTACGAGGCGTAAAAAGCTAATTCCCCGAGTTCGAAGGCGTACGTGACTCTCCCAGGGAGAGGAGAAAGATGGTAGAAAGGAAAGAGTGAGAAGGGGGGGACAAAGAGAGAAAAAGAGATAGTCAAACTCGTGGTACAGTAGCAGCAGCAGCAGCAGCAGCTCCTCATAGACATGCAGCAGTCGAACGCGAGGCGGCTGCTGGCTTTCGTGTATACTGAATTCGAATCAATTGATTGGCTGTTGATTGGAAATTGAATTAGATCGGAATGCGCGCGTCCGTAGGGTAGAGATCGGGCTTGGTAAGTTCATGGTGTGGTGGTACTGCTGCTACTAGCTAGCCTGCTACGTTACTGGTTGTGGTGGTGGTGGTGGTGGTGGTAGTAGTAGGGTTTTACGAAAAGGGGGACGCGATGCGAGACAACGGCTGTTTCTGCCTTTCGGATGCGCCACGAATATCAATGTGGTCTACTTTTCGAGCCTACCCTTTACCCTGGTTGTCCACCACCAACTTCCCTTCTTCTATTATTATTTTATTTGTTTTGTTTTTTTGCAAATGGATCTCATTCTCTCGTTCATCGATCCCCTTTAACTCCTGCTAAAGAGAAATTACTTTTGTGAGTTAGGCAGAAACTTAAAGGAGTTTGATAGGAAGACCTAGTCGTCTTCGAAGGATGACCGCAAGGAGTGAGACTTTACGAGCACTCTTGAGATCTTTTTTTCCCTCTTCTCCTTTTCCCATCTTTGAAAGACTAGCTTTCATTTTCGTTCTTTTACAAGGTTCCTTCACCAAACCTCCCCCTGTTACAACACCTTACCCTAACTGTACAATGTAGTCCTCGTAAACTCGAGTTTATTTATGCGGCTCCCGTCGGTCGGTTTCTGCAGCAAGGAAATACGACGAACAGGGACGCGACACAACGTGACATGCTTCCTTCATCGTCTATCTCGCTATCACCCTGAAAACAACCCTTAGCATGCTAGAATCATCCTAGCCTTTCTTTCCCTTGTCCTACCCCTAATTTTTCTTCGTTCAATCTTGATAATCCAACTTCTTTATCAATACGTCAGGTGATCTTAACCCTAAAAAATAAAACCAGTATGTTATTAAAAATGTTCATGTCTTTTTGTGTTAACAGGCCGAGTTGATTTCACTCAGGGAACGGAAAACTGCTATGCTGGCGTTAAATGTCTCAGCTCATCGATTGATTACCGACCTAGGTGCTTCTACATCTTTCATTTTTGGGGCCTTGAAAGAAGGTGTTGCTGATCTCTACAGAGTTTGGGACGAGACCTTTCAAAAGTTAGTATAATGAAAATCCTAGGATAAGGTTGGGTTAAGTTAGACAAGCTCCCTGTTTTTCTATTCTTCTTTCAATAACCACTTGACGGGTACGACTAACGCATACACGATCTTAAACAAATATTGTGAGAGATAATGAAGCCTCGAGAGCAAACATCATCGTGTAACGTTCACACACGCATGCATGAGAAAGACAGAAGAGTGTATGTGTGAGAAAGAGAAAAAGAGAATAGTAGTAGTAGTAGTAGTAGTAGTAGTAGTAGGAGTAACATGTTCACTTTGGGATTTTGAGACCCGTGTCACGGGATTATTGGCTTTAACACAGGGATCGCGAGTTTAATCATGGACCTATCCTCAGGCCGAATTGAGGATCTATTAGAAAAGTCACAAAGTCGAACCTGACTAAGAGGTGAATCCTTTGTAAAAAGAAAACATTCAAAAATCCTACAGTGATCTGTGAAAATAAATGCGAGTATTGATGGAATTCGAAAGTGATTTATTGTCTTTCTCTTTCTCACACATATGCACATACTTTCCATGAACTTTAGTCATCCTCCTCTCCCTTCTCTCTTCCCAATGCTAGGGATTTAGCAGGAGAGAGAAAGAAGAACGGGGGGGTTGGTTCGTTCGTCAGTGACCCACTGGGTTTAGCCGAGGTCAATTCCATCCCTCGTCTAGTCTCTGTCGCACTCCCAGGAAGTGTCCCAGGAATTTCTATTCCTTTTAGGGAGTGAGCATACAGTTGCCCCATGATGGTAGTGGTGGTTATTCTCGTGGTATGGCGTTTAAATTGTCCGTCGGCTGATATTAAGCACTTTACGATTGCGCAAGAACGTGCCTCTAATTGTTCTTTCCTTCCTTACCCGGATTATTGTTCAAACTGCTACGTGAATAATAATAATAATAATAATAATAATAATAATAATAATAATGTTGATAATAAAAGTAGTAGAGTTTCTTTTTGGGGTTATTAATCAGAAACGTTTTCTTTCCAATTCTGCTTCCGGGCCCTTTTTTTGTGCTCTTATTTTATTTCTTATCCGATCGAGAGATTTCATATCAAGTAGAGGGGTTCACCGTTCGATTTATTCCTGTCTTGACTTATGTATATAGATGTTACATTTGAGAAGAGCTTCCTATGAGGGGTTAGAGAGAGAAGACTAAAATGTTTTTATTTGCCAATAGCGCCGTTGGCAAGGAACCACCAAATAATTCGGACGACTCCCGATGTTTGCTCCTCGGCTTTACCACATTTCCACTTTTTATTATGTTTACCTGTCAGATTCTTTTCTTTTTTTTTTCTTGCTCTGAGAAGATCACTGCTAACCACTCGGACTTATTCTTTCCCCCTTTTCTAATCTTTGTTGTTTTTCTTTTTTTTTTTTTTCCAGAGGAAATCAACGACTGTCCGCACTTCAAACGGTTCAACATTTCAACCTACGCCTGTCAGAACTTCAATGCGATTTGCGTAGAGACAAGGATACCTTAGCTGTGTTGGACGTTGCTTTGCAAGCTGGTGCTACTACGGAAGTTGCATCTTCCGTTCGTCATGTTGCTCGTCTTTTGTCGGAAAAACAAGAAGTTCATTCTCAGGTGAGTGGTCTGACTCTTCCTATCTAAGATTCAAAATTGTTGAGAGAGGGGGGTTGAAGTTGAACTCTTTAGTCGATAGGGTCGTGAGATTCAAGGGTCATGCTTGACTCCTAAGGAGGAATAAGGAATGAGGGATGCTTAAGGGGGTTCCTTTGACGCATGACACTTGTCGATATCGTGTCTCGGTTAAACGCTATCCCCACTCGCAGGATTCTCACCCTTTTCCCTTCTTCTTCCTCTATTCCAACCATATCCGTCTTATATTTGCATATAAAGTAAGCCCTCTCACTTTCCTTCCTTCCTTCCTTATGCCTTGTCAAGAAGACGTACTGCCCAAGTGTACTAAACCCCCACCCCATATGCCGTGCTTTCTTCTTTAACCCCCGTAGGGCAAACCCTTTTAAATTTATAATGAAAATCGAGCTAATGTAGGTCACATAACAGCAGCAGCAGCACCAGCACCAGCAGATCCAAATTTTCCACTCGTCAGGTGTTGTGTCAGGGTATATTAGTTGCGTTACTTTACTGCTAGGTGGTGTTACAGTTGTTGGGTTGTGTTGGTAGGACAAGGAAAGAAAAAAAAAAGAAGGGAGGGATGGAAAAAGTAGGAAGGCGACGGCGGCACGTCTGGTCCGACGATTTCCAATTGTCCCGGCGCTCATTTCGTCTGTCAGGAAGACGTACGACTCGCGACACAATACACCCCACGATCTTTCTACCCTCTCTAGTGTCGTTGTTACTGTTCCTACTASTACTACTGTTACACCCTGTTGGTGGTGGGGGTTAGGTAGCATACTTTTAACGTATTCAAACTCGAGTCAAGACGGAATACGATTCAAACAGAGTTTCTTACTGTACTCGAGGGGATAATTTCATGCACTCGGGCATTACGTCTTTTTCCTTCTTTCCCCCACCCCCTTCTCTCTTTTTTTTTTCTTTCAAGCAGTGATGTGAAGAAAAATAAAGGGAATAGTAGTAGCTATAGGTAAAGGTAAAAAGAAAAAAAAACAAAGAAGTTGTTCTACTCGCGTAGAACGTTGATATAAATTTTGATAGGCGCTAAATAAAAGATCAAGTTGGTTTTTTGGGTGATGGTTTGCGCATGTTTTCTAGTAGAGGGAACCTTAGCAAGATACACACAACACACTACCTAGCTAGCAAAAGCTTCAAATGTTGATCCTTCGATGGTCCAGCAGTAGCAGGAGAACTGGCCAGAGTAACACGGGGGTGTCGGCCATCTCAGAGGAAACCCGCACCCCAGGGAGCTTGGATCGTTAATCGCCCGAACGATTCTCTTTCCCATCACGTACTGTAGTGGGTCCGTGGAATCAGCGTAAAAATACAAATTTAATAACGTCCGCGGAAGAAGAAGGCAAAACGCATTCTCTTTCTCTCTCTTTTACCAATCCCCCCTTCTTCCTGGTTGAGTTGAGTTGGGTTGGGTTCGGTGCCTGTTTGCGAAAAGCATCGTTTTTTTTTTTGGTTTTTTTTTTTACTGCGGCCTCGGTCAAGGACAGGTATGAAGAAGAAGATGAAACATCAACGAGTGTGTCCAGTTCCGTTCTGTCCTCGTTTTTCTTTTTGTTGTTGTTGTTGTTGTTGTGGCTTTCAGTCCTCTTCCGCGTGTCTTTGAGACATAACTGGAAATGATCCCTGCTTCGTCTCTTGACTTTTCTATGTTGTATTTGTTATATATGTATATATATATATGTATGTGTGTATTATGAATGTATGGGTTTAAGTTTGTATGTATGTATACATATATAGGTTAGCTCGGAGGTTGCTACTTGGTATGCGGATCGCGCTTTTCATTACCGGAGGCTCGTTCCCTCCGTCTCTGCTGCTGCAAACAGCCTAAATCTACCTCCTGTCTCTTCCTCACCCTCTTTCTCTTTCAATACCACCCTTCTCCATCTTTTTCCGACACACCACCCCCCGATTCGTCCGTGTCTCCACTTCGTTCTCATTTGTATTTTTGGATTTCCAACGTTTGGAGACGCGAACGAACAATTTCCTGGATTAATTCTCGTCGCTTGGAAAGTCATCAACGAATTATCGCAATACTTTGTCAAATGTTTTACACACCCAGCAGAGAAAAAGAGGTCCTCCTTGTCTTTTATTTATGAACAAATGTTCTTAGGATATGAATTTTTTTGTTCCAAGTAAACTGGGTGTATCATCAATTAGGTCGTTTGTATTTTGGGTATGGTTGAGTGTTGTAAATTGAACAAACTTTGTTCATCTTTTGATTAAGGGATTAACCCTTAAGGGGTTACACTGAAACGGTTTGATCAGAACAATATTTTTCTTGTTGATTTTCAGAATGAGACTGTTATAATGAACGATGCTACAATCGTGGAAGTAACTGCGTGTCCATTGGCAAAGTTCACCGATCAATCGACCACCCTGTTGAGCCAAGAAGGTGGTTCATTATCGGACAGTGGAATATCCGATAGCGGTAGCGAACAGGAATTAAGCGAACGCGAAAGAAGATTGGCTTTACTTCGTCGTTTAACTCGTAATTTGGAAAATCAATTGGATCCAGGTAGCGAGGCATTGACCAAACTTTGGAAAAGGGTCGAGGACGCTGAACACGAGTTACGCGATTTGCAAAAACAGTGTCGTGAATTGATCGTGCGTACTGCAGCTAGTGTTGAGAGTCGTACCGCTAAAAGGATGGTTGGTCAACATCATTATCGTACTGAGTAAGTTGGTTTATGAACATTTATTCAATTATCTTCAATCCTTTCGTTATGATACACACCCGAATCTTTGGGTTAAGGTTTTTGCATAGAAGACTCGTATGGGTTGTAACGTAACGAAAGGGTTGTTGTTAAATTATGCACTAATATTAATCCCAGTGTTAATAGAATCCATCCAGAAGAGACAAGATTCCTTATCCAAATGATCATCACCTCTACAACTTGTTAAAACTCCACCAAAATGATCCAAGAACAATCCTGGTAACAGAATATATATCCTCTCTTTTTTTGGGCTTGTCTTATCAAAAGTTTTGTCCTTACTCAAGCTCCGTTCTATTTCCTTGTTCCTTTTTTATAGTCTCGTTTAATCGCACGAAGAAAATAGGTTCATTTGAAGTAGGTGCGAAAAGACATTTGGCGCGTAATAAAAAAAGTGATAAAAAGGTTTCCTTTTGTAAGATCCGAAAAGTGTTGAGATCTTCAGATAAAAGAAGTTGGTAAAAAGGTTAGTCATTATTATGTTTGTGTTTTGTTTGTTTGTTTCTATTCTTAGCAAAAGGAAGAAGCCTGCTAATGGTGACAACAACAACATCGATGAGGACGAGGATGATGAAGATGATTCGATGATTAAAGATCAATCAGAGATTATGGTATCTGGGTATCACATTGGTCGTTGTGGTAGTGGTGGTGATGGTCTTATCGGAGCTGGTGGATGTAGGACCAAATCCGAGGACACTGGTGATCCGGAAAACGAACCGGACATACCTCAAAGTTGGATATGGCGTATTCTGAGGGCTGCCTTGCCCTTTCAGTTGGCTCTAGTCGCTCTTTTCTGTGCCGCTTGTCTTCTTGAACCACATTGTTGCGAAGCTGCTAACACCCTCAATCTTTCATTGACACCGCAGCTTCGTTACGTCAGAGGACCCCCACCAGTGTAAATAAAAAACGGTCCTGCTGTCCGTTTCGACAGTTTTGTCAACACCGTTTATTGCACAGATTATCTTTAAGTTTGATCGTGTATGTTTGTATGTATGTTTGTGTGTATGCAGTTTTGTATGACGTATGCTCGATGACACTGCCACTCCTCTCATCGTTCGTAACTCGACACACAATTTTCTTCCTTTTCTAGGTTAGGGATTACTTCTTTCGCCATATTTTTGGGGGGGGGGGATTTTTGTTAATATGCATTTATATGTGTTGTCTTATTTGTACAAGTGTGTCTTCTTTGTTTTCACTGCCAATTTTCATTTGTCGGAAAAATTTTTTCATTAAGCTAGATCAAATTTAATTCACGCAAAGAAGACGACAACTGGAAAAGAAAGATGGTGGATGATCAAATTTAAATTTCAATCAATGAATTTGTTCAAATTCCAAAAATTTATTCGAGTTACGACGATCGAGTAACACACGTGTTGTGTGTATTTTTATGCTGTGTTGTACATTTCTTTTTGTCTTTTTTTTTTTTTTTATATATTTATAGGAATGTTATTTATCGAATGATGAGATGATTGAAAAAAAAAAAATCAACAAAAAAACAAAAGAAAAGAAAAAAGAAATTAGTAAAGTAGAGTTTATACGAAGAACGAACGAACGAACGGAAGGAACGATTATAAATCGTTGAACATTTTCTCACGAAGATATTTAATTTGATATGATTGATATACAATGTATATATACATATATAAAATATATATATATATATACATACACACACAGATATGCATGTGTGTGTGTGTGTGGGTATGTATATATATATAAATGTTACACGAAATGTATTCAAGGATGAATACGAGGAAGAATATTTTTTACAGAAAGAAGACGACCGGTCATTTTGAAACAATATGGCGACTTTAAAATCGCCAATGAGAATGAAGACTAATATATGAAGTTAAAAAATGATTTAATTTAAAAAAAAAAAAAAAAGAAGAAGAATGATCATAATGATCGATATTGAATTATTACAGACCGGTTTTAGATACACATACATATATATATATTTAAATGATAGAATTTCATGAATAATTGTTTATTTTTTATTGTTAGAAAAAAGAAATATAAATATATATCTATATATATTTATTGATAGACAAAATGGCGAACCAAAATGGCGGCCTAGTATCTTCACAAACCTCCGAATTTTAATGACGAGAGGAGGGATGATGATGATGATGATGTTGACTTTTAATCGAAACGAGATTAAAAGTAATTAACAATATTTATATGAAATAATAATGACAAAACCAATATTGTGGCGTCGTAAGTATTTACAGATTCAAATCTTTTCCTTTAATGGATGAGAAGAAAATAAAAGAAATGGAAGATAAAGAGAGGTTAGAGATTCGTCCTTGGAGTTGAAAGAGAAGAAAGGTTCACGAAGTAAAAAAAGAAGAAGAAGAAGAAGAGGAAGAAGAAGAGGAAGAAGGAGAAGGAGACATAAAAAAAAAAAGATAAAGATAAAGATAAAAGAAAAGAAAATGTAAGAATGAAGTTTAGAAAGGGTGAGAGGGGGAAGGGGAGAGGGAGGGGAGGGGGAAAGAAAGTATAGCAGTTAAACCGATTTTGTTCCCTTAACTACACTGTGTCACGTGATACGAAACTGTTACAAAATTGGAAAGTAGGTTGAACCGTTGATTAAAAAGAAAGGTCTTTGAAGATAGGAGTCAGATATATTTGAGGAATGAAGATGAAAAGATAAAACGAGGTTATGTGAGTTTTATTGATGAAGATGATAACAGGAGGTATTTCTATCGGTAATTTTTATTTTTATTTTTTTGTTTTGCGTGTGTGTAATTATCTCGTTTAGATTTTACATCGATTATAGGTTATAAGGGGTGTGTGTATTATTAACATGTATACGTATATTTGTACGTGTAGATTGTTAGTTGATCTCCTCCCGTCGCCATCTTCATTTCTTATCATTGTGTGCACATGAATATCTTCATGTTTTTTTTTTATTTTTTTTTTTATACAGTTTTTGTTCCTAGCCATAGAAGAAGAAGAAGAAGAAGAAAGGAAGGAAGGTTGGATGAATTTAGGAAGGGTGTTTTCATCCCCCTTTTAATTCGAATTAGGATTCGGAAAACGATTGAGTGCCAACAATTCCGAATTGTAGGAACTCGTTAGTGTGGTTCCTTCGTTAGATGTTTTTTTTTTTGTTTTATTTTGTTTTATTTTATTTTTTTTTTTTTTATAACAATACGATCGAATGTGACGTATGAAATGAACAAACGTGATCTGAAAAAGATTGAGGATTGTTCTGTTTTTTTTTTATTTTTTTTTTTTAGATTGTTTTTTTTTTATTGCTATGAGGAAGAAGATGAAGCAGAAGAAGATGAAGATGAAACGAAATAAATCAAAATTGCATGTGAAAAAATTATTACTAGTTCTTGGGATGATTATTAGAGTAACCAATAACAACGAGGATTTATAATAAATTGTTTTTTTTTTTTTTTTTTTTTTGTAGATTTATGCAATAGTGCATCTTTAATTAATTTTTTTATTCTATATTCAGTGATTGAATATCACAAATTTGTAAGAAGAAGAAGAAGAAGAAGAAGTTCAAAGGAAGAAAATAATTAATTAAATAAAACAATTACTGTGTTTTTTACAGTGAAAGTAGGTAACCGTAAAATCGGTTGATTAAATAAAAAAAATAAAAAAATAAAAGAAAGAAAGAAAGAAAGAAAGAAAAAAAAGATTCGTCAAAGATGTAAAAAAATGAGACTACCGAACGTGTCATCGTTTCTTGCATACACAAATGAGGTTCATTATACAGGGTGACTTAAATTGTTACAAGTGTCGATTACAATAATACTAAAAATAATTGCAATTACAATTGCATTGAAAAAAAAAATTATCTAATTTTTTAATTTTATTTGGCCTTCATCATTCATTTTATTTCTCAAATATTTTTCAAAAAAAAAAAAAAAAAAAAAAAAACTATTGATGATTTACAACCTGAGTTAGGATGACAAAAATTGCAATTGCAATTAAAAAAAAATTATTGGTGATTTAAAACCTGAGTTAGTATGACTAAAATTGCAATTGCATTTAAAAAAACAATATTAGTGANAAAAAACAATATTAGTGACTTGGTGATTTAAAACTAGAGTTAGAATGACAAACATTGCAATTGCAATTAAAAAAAAATTATTGGTGATTTAAAACATGAGTTAGTATGACTAAAATTGCAATTGAATTTTAAAAAATAATATTAGTGACTTGGTGACCTAAAAATATGAGTTAGAATGACAAAAATTGCAATTGCATTTAAAAAAGCAATATTAGTGACTTGGTGATTTAAAACTTGAGTTAGGATGACAAAATTTGCAATTGCATTTATATAAAAAATATTGGTGACTTAAAACATGAGTAAGAGTGACTAAAATTGCAATTGCATTTAAATAAAAAATATTGATGACATAAAACATGAGTTAGGATGACAAACATTGCAATTGCATTTAAATAAAAATTATTGGTGACTTAAAACATGAATTAGAATGACTAAAATTGCAATTGAATTTAAGAAAAATAATATTAGTGACTTGGTGACCTAAAAATATGAGTTAGAATGACAAAAATTGCAATTGCACTTAAATACAAAATGTTGACAACCTAAAACATGAATTAGAATGACAAAAATTGCAATTGCATTTAAAAAAAAAAAATTATTACTGACTTGGTGACTTAAAAAACATGGCGTTTGGATGGACACCATTTAGTTTCATTTGAAATATTACTTTGGACACTTAGAAATCTAACCTAAAAGAGAAGAAATATATTCTCAAATATACTTCAATAATTTCGACTCACCCTGTATTATTTTCACGTAAGGAAATAGGGAGGGATTGTCCAATCATCGAACGTGTCTTTTATTTTTTGGAAAACGATTTTAACATGACGACTACTACGCGACTTCATATTTTCTCTAACGAACGAACGAAACGAAACTAAAAATAAAAAAACCCACAATGAACAACAACAACAAACAACAAACAACACATCATTCAAACGTTGATGATTAAACAACGCAAGATTGATTTTTATCAGTTATGACCACCAATCGTGACGATGAAGATCCGATTATTCGTACGGAATGCATTTGCTTACTGTGTAAGCGTATTATACATATACTTAATATACATATGAGTGTGTGTTTTCTTTTTTTTTTTTT